GTCCTGGTGGGCTGATAGGCTGAGATACGTTCGGATAGATAAGTTGGGCCAGAACCGTTTAGGGCTTTAAAATCTATGGCAAGCATCCTCAGAGGTGTGAGGATTCTATTGTTATTCGTATTATATTGTATCATATAATATTAAATGTACCTAAAAGTCTCTTTTATAGTATTTAAATGTGGGGTAGACATGTTTTTATTGTAATATTATATATATATATATATATATATATATATATATATATATATATAAAATAATAATATTCAATAATAATATATAATAATAATATTAATAATATTATTATTATTAATAATAATATTCAATAAACCTAATCATGTTTCCCACTCAATAAATTACAGCAATGTCTATAATCCATTCACAGCAAGGCAGGAGAGGAAATAAACAGGATGTCCTTCTAGGCCCAAGCCTAGATTGTAGTAATCCTGATCCACGTGCAAAAAAACCTCCTTTCCCCGCCACGCTTTCTTTACTTCCGCGTTTCCTCACCGGAAGGCGAAAGACTCCCGCTGAAGCTCTCGCGAGATGGAGTCTCCAGGGATGATTGACAGGTAGTAAGCGGGAAAGGGGTGTTCCTATTGGCTGAGGCGCGAATGATGTCAGATGGCGCCGGAAAAGGCGGGCTTGCGTCTTACATTCCTATTGGTTGGATTCCATTTTGGGGCGGGCGGGAGGGAGGGTGATTTCCGTTTCCGGCCAGGCCTCGAGGAGAAGGCCTCAGTCTGGAGGCGCCTCCGAGCGGGAAGCACGCGCCCTCGGCAGCCATCATGGTGAGGCCTACTCTGAGGGAGGGAAAGGGAAGGGGAAGGGAGGCTTCGTTCAGGCTCCCCATTCACTCACCATGTTGGCCTTCCTCCTTGCCTCCCTCCCTCCCAGGTGCTGCTCCACGTCCTCTTCGAGCACGCGGCCGGGTACGCCCTCTTCGCCCTCCGGCAGGTGGAGGAGATCGCCCTCCTGCTCCCTCAGGTACAAAACCGCATGGCCATCTGTCGGGAGGGCTCGGGTGGTGCCTTTCCTGCAGGGTAGGACGCCATCTAGCATTCCAGTCCCTCTTTGTTATTTGCAGATGACTAAAATGAAAGCCTATACCAGTGTTTCTCAATCTGGGGGTCGGGACCCATGGAGGGGGGTCACCAAAGACCACCAGAAAACACAATATTTTCTGTTGGTCATGCAGGTTCTGTGTGGGAAATTTGGCCCAATTCAATCCTTGGTAGGGTTCAGAATGCTCTTTGAGTGTAGGTGAACTATAAATCCCAGCAACTACAACTCTCAAATGTCAAGATTCTATTTTCCCCAAACTCCACCAGTGTTCACATTTGGGCATATTGAGTATTCGTGTAGAGTTTGGTCCAGATCCATCATTGTTTGAGTCCACAGCGCTCTCTGGATGTAGGTGAACTACAACTCCCAAATTCAAGGTCAATGCCCACCAAACCCTTCCAGTATTTTCTATTGGTCATGGGAGTTTTGTGTGCCAAGTTTGGTTCAATTCCATCGTTGGTCATATTGAGTATTCGTGTGGAGTTTGGTCCAGATCCATCATTGTTTGAGTCCACAGTGATCTCTGGATGGAGGTGAACTACAACTCCAAAATTCAAGGTCAATGCCCACCAAAGCCTTCCATTATTTTCTGTTGGTCATGGGAGTTCTGCGTGCCAAGACTGGTTCAATTCTTTCGTTGGTGGGGTTCAGAATGCTCTTTGATTGTAGGTGAACTAGAAATCCCAGCAACTACAACTCCCAAAATGTCACAGTCTATTTTCCCCCAACTCCACCAGTTTTCATATTCAGGCATATTGAGTCTTCGTGCCAAGTTTCATCCAGATCCATCATAGTTTCAGTCCACAGTGATCTCTGGATGTAGGTGAACTACAACTCCCAAATTTAAGGTCAATGCCCACCAAACCCTTCCAGTGTTTTCCGTTGGTCATGGAAGTTCTGTGTGGCAAACTAGCTTCAAATCCATCGCTGATGGAGTTCAGAACGCTCTTTGATTATAGGTGAACTAGAAATCCTAGCAACTCCAACTCCCAAATGTCAAGGTCTCTTTTCCCCAGACTCCACCAGTGTTCACATTTGGGCATATTGAGTATTCATGCCAAGTTTCATCCAGATCCATCATAGTTTCAGTCCACAGTGATCTCTGGATGTAGGTGAACTACAACTCCCAAATTCAAGGTCAATGCCCACCAAACCCTTCCAGTATTTTCTGTTGGTCATGGGAGAAGTGTGTGGCAAACTAGGTTCAAATTCATCGCTGATGGAGTTCAGAATGCTCTTTGATTGTAGGCGAACTATAAATCCCAGCAATTACAACTCCCAAAGGACAAAATCAATACCCTCCCCCAATCCCACCAGTATTCAAATTTGGGTGTATTGGGTCTTTGTGCCAAATTTGGTCCAGTGTTTTGGTCCGAATTTGGTCCACTGCACATCAGATATTTACATTACTATCCATAACAGCAGCAAAATGACAGTTATGATGTAGCAATGAAACTATTTTTATGGTTGGGGGTCACCATAACATGAGGAAGCGTATGAAGGGGTCGTGGCATGAGGAAGGTTGGGAACCACTGGCCTATACTGATAAGTGTCAATACAAACATGCACGCGAGGTATTGCCACATGCAATCTAAGTATTTGTAAAATTCAAAACAAAGCCAGGATACAATATGAAAAGAAGAGCCTGCTGTTCAAGGCGGTCCATTGCAAAAATAGAAATTGAAAAGGGGAAGCCAAGAGCCCTCGGCCCCTCCAGGAAGGAGTTTCAGTCCCTGGTGCTACAAGAGAGGTCCTTCTCTCGATCCCACCATTATTGCAAACATGGTTGATGGGGATGAGAGACGGGGCCTTCTTGGCAGTGCCCCCCATCTGTGGGACTCTCTTCCCAGGGACATCAGGTTGGCCACCACCCTCCTGTCCTTTTAGAAGACAAGTGGAGACTTGGCTCTGGGACCAGGCGTTTGATCAATCGAATATTTATTTATTTATTTAAAAGTTTTGTATACCGACCTTCTCACCTCTCTTGAGGGACTCAGACCGGTTTCCAACCATAATATCACATTTGTTGTTGTTCATTCGTTCAGTCGTCTCCGACTCTTCGTGACCTCATGGACCAGCCCACGCCAGAGCTCCCTGTCGGCCGTCACCACCCCCAGCTCCTTCAAGGTCAGTCCAGTCACTTCAAGGATGCCATCCATCCATCTTGCCCTTGGTCGGCCCCTCTTCCTTTTGCCTTCCACTTTCCCCAGCATAATTGTCTTCTCTAGGCTTTGCTGTATCCTCATGATGTGGCCAAAGTACTTCAACTTTGTCTCTAGTATCCTTCCCTCCAGTGAGCAGCCGGGCTTTATTTCCTGGAGGATGGACTGGTTGGATCTTCTCGCAGTCCAAGGCACTCTCAGAACTTTCCTCCAACACCACAGTTCAAAAGCATCGATCTTCCTTCGCTCAGCCTTCCCTAAGGTCCAGCTCTCACATCCGTAGGTTACTACAGGGAATACCATGGCTTTGACTAGGCGGATCTTTGTTGTCAGTCTGATGTCTCTACTCTTTACTATTTTATCGAGACTGGACATTGCTCTCCTCCCAAGAAGTAAGCGTCTTCTGATTTCCTGGCTGCAGTCTGCATCTGCAGTAATCTTTGCACCTAGAAATACAAAGTCTGTCACTGCCTCCACGTATTCTCCCTCTTATTTCCCAGTTGTCAATCATTGTTGCCATAATCTTGGTTTTTTTTACATTTAACTGCAACCCAGCTTTTGCGCTTTCTTCTTTCACCTTGATTAGAAGGCTCCTCAGCTCCTCCTCGCTTTCGGCCATCAGAGTGGTGTAATCTGCATATCTGAGGTTGTTAATGTTTCTTCCAGCAATTTTCACCCCAGCTTTGCATTCATCAAGCCCCGCACATCGCATGATGTGTTCTGCATACAAGTTAAAAAGGTTGGGTGAGAGAGTATGCAGCCTTTCCATACGCCTTTCTCAATCTTGAACCAGTTTGTTGTTCCGTGGTCAGTTTTTACTGTTGCTACTTGGTCCTTGTACAGATTCCTCAGGAGAGAGACAAGGTGGCTTGGTATGCCCATCCCCCAAGAACTTGCCACAATTTATTATGATCCACACAGTCAAAGGCTTTAGAATAGTCAATGAAGCAGAAATAGATGTTTTTCTGAAACTCCCTGCCTTTCTCCATTATCCAGCGGATATTGGCAATCTGGTCTCTGGTTCCTCTGCCTTTTCTAAACCCAGCTTGAACATCTGGCAACTCTCGCTCCATGTATTGCTGGAGTCTTCCTTGCAGGATCTTGAGCATTACCTTACTGGCATGAGAAATAAGGGCCACTGTACGGAAGTTTGAGCAGTCTTTCGCATTTCCCTTTTTTGGTATGGGGATATAAGTTGATTTTTTCCAGTCTGATGGCCATTCTTGTGTTTTCCATATTTGCTGGCAAATGGCATGCATCACCTTGACAGCATCATCTTTTAAGATTTTAAACAGTTCAGCTGGGATCCCGTCGTCTCCTGCTGCCTTGTTGTTAGCAATGCTTCTTAAGGCCCATTCAACCTCACTCCTCAGGATGTCTGGTTCTAATTCATTCACCACACCGTCAAAGCTATCCTCAATATTATTATCCTTCCTATACAGATCTTCTGTATAGTCTCGCCACCTTCTCTTGATCTCTTCAGCTTCTGTTAGGTCCCTGCCATCTTTGTTTCTTATCATACCAATTTTTGCCTGAAATTTACCTCCAATGTTTCTAATTTTCTTGAAGAGGTCTCTTGTCCTTCCTATTCTGTTGTCTTCTTCCACTTCCATGCATTGCTTATTTAAAAATAGTTCCTTATCTCTTCTGGCTAACCTCTGGAATTGTTCATTTAACTGGGCATATCTCCCCTTATCCCTGTTTCCTTTTGCTTTCCTCCTTTCTTGGGCTACTTCCAGTGTCTCAGTAGACAACCATTGTGCCTTCTTGATTTTCTTTTTCTTTGGGACGTACTTTGTTGCCGCCTCCTGAACAATGTCTTGGACTTCTGTCCATAGTTCTTCTGGGACTCTGTTTACTAAATCTAGTCCTTCAAATCTGTTCTTCACTTCCACTGTATATTCGCTAGGAATGTTAGTGAGATCATATCTAACTGGTCTGTGTATAATATCACATACAATCAATAAAACATCATAATACATATTACAGTAAAACATTAAAACAGCAATTACAATCAATAACTATAATGGTCAGTCGTCACACTAAAATCGTTGCTCATCATCCTCCATCCATATCTCAGGGTGTTGGCTCACTCGTCGAATGCCTGTCTCCATAACCAAGTCTTCACCTGTTTCCTAAATGTCAGGATAGAAGGGGCGGTTCTGATCTCCAGTGGGAGAGAGTTCCAGAGTCGAGGGGCCACCACCGAGAAGGCCCTGTCCCTCGTCCCCACCAGACGCGCTTGCAAGGCCGGTGGGACCGAGAGCAGGGCCTCTCCAGACGATCTTAATAATCTTGATGGTTCATAGGGGAGAATGAACCATCAAGAGAATGATATGCAAGGACTTTCAGCCCTTGCATATCATAGTTGCATTTGTGCACATGGACTTTCCCAAAATGGCACCCCCCTCAGAAATTTGTTGTGTCCTGCAGTGTAACTCTGTAGGTTGGGGGTGGAGAGAAGCACACCATAGAATTGTCTGCAAGTCCTGTCAGATTCCAAAATCATTTCTCCTGGTTAGAGGTAAGTGAAACTGTACAGTACCTTGCTGTACAGTAAAGTCAGGAAAACCTCCCTTTGCAGGTGGAGGAGAGTGTGCTGAACCTTGGCAAATTCCTCACCCTTGTGAAGCTGGTGGCCTTCTCCCCGTTCAAGTCTGCCCAGAGTGCCTTGGAGAACATCAATGCCATCTCAGAAGGTGAGTTTCCTCTCTGCTGGCGTTGGGCTGGAGGGTCCAAGCCGTGCAAGCCTTTATGGCTCGGCCTGGCTTCCTTTCTTCTGGAGGAGAGAGTTACAGAATCATAGAGTTGGAAGAGACCACAAGGGCCATCCAGCCCAACCCCCTTCTGCCAGGCAGAACACAAGATTGAAGCATTGCCGGAAGATTGCCCTCCAGCTCCTGCTTAAAAACCGCCAGGGAAGGAGACTCTGCCAGACTCCCACCCAGAATATTCCACTGCTTAAGAGATCTTTTGACCTCTTGAGCAGCCCTTATTGCCAGGAAGTTCTTCCTAATGTCTTTCCTACAGTATGATCCCCTTTAGTCCATTGTGTCCCGATCTCTGTAGCAGCGCAAAACAAGCTTGCTCCCTTCTCAATGCAATATCCTTTCAAACATATAAATGTAATCTTGGTGTTTAATTTTTATGCATTATGTCTAAATGTTGTTTTATGTTTCAATTTGGTTATAGTTGTATAAATAACACCCGGTGGCGCAGTGGATTAAACCGCTGAGCTGCTGAACTTGCTCTCATGCTCTCACAGTGTCAGCCCCAGCTTCTGCCAACCTAGCAGTTCTAAAACATGCAAATGTGATCAGATCAATAGGAACCGCTCCAGCAAGAAGGTAACGGCGGTGTCTACAGACAATGCTGGCTCTTTGGCTTAGAAATGCAGATGAGCACCAACCCACAGAGTCTGACACGACTGGACTTAATGTCAAGGGAAAACCTTTACCTTTTACTATGTTATTGTCTAGCTCAGGGGTCCTCAAACTACGGCCCTCCAAGGTCATTTACCTGGCCCTCGCTCAGGGTCAACCTAAGTCTGAAATGACTTGAAAGCATACAACAGTCCTATCTCATCAGCCAAAAGCAGGCCCACACTTCTCATTGAATACTAATAAGTTTATGTTTGTTAAGATTATTCTTTGTTTTAATTATTGTATTATTTTTAAATGTTTTTTGCACTACAAATAAGATATGTGCAATGTTCATAGGAATTCATTCATTTTTTTCCAAATTATAACCTGGCCCTCCAACAGTTTGAGGGACTGTGACCTGGCCCTCTTGTTAAAAAGTTTGAGGACCCCTGGTCTAGCTGTTAAGTTTTGGTTTTCACATGTATGTTCGGCATTGAATTTTGCCTTTATAATGTTGGAGACTGCTTTCATTTCCCTCAGGGAGAAAGGTGGTATATAAATGTAGTAAACAAATATATAAATAAATGGCACTCCAGGTATGTGCTTGGCTGACCACTTCCACTAGTCCAGGCATGGGCAAACCTCAGCCCTCCAGGTGTTTTGGACTTCAACTTCCACAATTGTTTGAGGAGTTTTGGGAGTTGAAGTCCAAAACATCTGGAGGTCTGAAGTTTGCCCATGCTCGCACTAGCCTTTGCTGGCCACAGAGATGATGTACATTGTGAATCTGTCAATCCACTGAAGCTCTCGCTGTCGACACCCTCTCACTGCTGATCTGTGCCAGAAAGGAAGGGGAGAATAGCTCTGGAGCAGGCAGGAGATTCGAATGCAATTTTCCTGCTTCTTGGCAGAATGGGGTTGGACTGGATGGCCTATGAGGTCTCTTCCAACTATATGATTCTATGGACTAACTTGGGCCCTCCAGGTGTTCTGGACTTAAACTCTCATAATTCTGAACAGCTGGTAAACATTTGGAGGGCCTGTTAACTGCATTAGCCTTTGCTGGCCCTCATGGCCCACTAAACATCAAGCTCAAGACATAATAATAATAATGGTAATAATAATAATAATATCACACGGTCCTAGACACTTGGGAAGTGTTCGACTTGTGATTTTGTGATACAAAATCCAGCATATAGATCTCATTTCCTGTGACATACTGTGCTTTTGTGTCAGTAAAATAATAACAATAATAAACACTTTATATATATTCTGCCCTATCTCCCTGGAGGGACTCAAGGCAGATTCCAAACATAAGACAATACACTCATAATAACGAAAATTGACAACTCAACATGTAAAAGCAAATAATGATGTAACAATTAGAATTAAATGAAAAACATCCTGTTATATCAGACTTGAAGCAGAACATCAAACGGAAGCGTCAATTTCCCAGTTCTGTGGGGGCAAATAGATTGATCATTGCTCGAGATATGGATGGTAGCCTTGACCTCTTTCTGCCTCAGGAATCCTGCACGAGGACCTCCGGCTCCTGCTGGAGACCAACCTGCCGGCCAAAAAGAAGAAGGTCCTTGTTGGGGTCAGCGATGCCAAGATTGGGGCCGCCATCCAGGAGGAGCTGGGCTACCAATGCCAGACCGGAGGGGTCGTGGCAGAGATCGTTCGAGGTAAGGCTCCCAAGATTCGCCCCTTTCTTTGTCTCAGCTCTTGGTTCCTAAGCAAGGTGAATATGGGCAAAACTAGAGTATTCACAATCTCTACAAGAGGTAAATGCAATGCCCTCTTCTTTCTTTCCAGGCATCCGGTTGCACTTCCACGGTTTGATAAAGGGCCTGACGGCGCAGTCGGCCTCCAAGGCCCAGCTGGGGCTCGGGCACAGCTACTCTCGGGCCAAAGTGAAGTTTAACGTGAACCGAGTGGACAACATGATCATCCAGTCCATCAGCCTCTTGGACCAGTTGGACAAAGACATCAACACCTTCTCCATGCGGGTCAGGTGCGTCAAATGGAGAGTGGCCATTTATTCCATTTCTGTTTGCTCCATCTAGAGTGTTACCCCTTTGTCAGTGTTGATGTGGAGATTGTCTGGTTTGCCTACTCTGGAATATGCAACATATAATTGTCCTTCTTTAGGGGTCAATTTCAAATCTAGGATACTATATGTGTGTGTGTGAATCATATCTATCTATCTCTATCTATGGCTGGATGGCTCTTTGTCAGGAGAGCTTTGATTACGTTTTCTTGCCCTGATGAAGAGAGTTGGACTGGATTTATTTATTTGTCGTGTCAGGACAACAAGTCAAATTATATTACATTTATAACAGAAAGTCTCTTCTGTTGGACTAGATGGCCTTAAGTAATTTTCTGTTGGCCATGGGGGTTCTGTGTGGGAGATTTGCCCCAAGTCTGTCATTTCTGGGGTTCAGAATGCTCTTTAATTGTAGGTGAATTATAAATCCCAGTAACTACAAAACCCAAATATCAAAGTCAATTTCCCCCAAACTCCATCTGTGTTCATATTTGGGCATACGGAGTATTTGTGCCAATTTTGATCCAGATCCATCACTGTTTGAGTCCATGGTAGTCTCTGGGTGTAGGTGAACTACAACTCCCAAACTCAAGGTCAATGCCCACCAAACCCTTCTAGTGTTTTCTGTTGGTCATGGGAGTTCTGTGTGCCATGTTTGGTTCAATTCCATCATTGGTGGAGTTCAGAATGCGCTTTGATTGTAGGTGAACTATAAATCCCAGTAACTACGAATCCCAAATGTCAAGGTCAATTTCCCCCAAACTCCATCTGAGTTCATATTTGGGCATACGGAATATTTGTGCCAATTTTGGTCCAGATCCATCATTGAGTCCACAGTGCTCTCCGGATGTAGGTGAACTACAACTCCCAAACTCAAGGTCAATGCCCACCAAACCCTTCTAGAGTTTGCTGTTGGTCATGGGAGTTCTGTGTGCCACGTTTGGTTCAATTCCATCATTGATGGAGTTCAGAATGCACTTTGATTGCAGGTGAACTACAACTCCCAAACTCAAGGTCAATACCCACCAAACCCTTCCGGTATTTTCTGTTGATCATGGGAGTCCTGTGTGCCATGTTTGGTTCAATTCCATCATTGATGGAGTTCTGAACGCTCTTTGATTGTAGGTCAACTATAAATCCGAGCAACTACAACTCCCAAATGATAAAATAAAAAAAAATTCAGTGAAGGACATACATTAGGTTGTTGAGTGTCTTGTGTCCAAATTTGGTGTCAATTCATCCAGTYGTTTTTGAGTTACGTTAATCCCACAAACGAACAATACATTTCTATTTACATAGATTACTTTTTGGAACTTTCTTATTTTCTTACAAGCATTTATTTCTTCTGGCTATTTACTAAGCTTCAATAAAAGAAGATTTGTTTCTTCACGTCCATTTGGCCTGCCCATCCTGTTTGATTTTATATTGTGTTAATTTGCTTTATTTATTTTATTTTGCTACTGTAACTARTTTCTGATGTATTTTTTTGTGTCTGTATTCTGTATTTTATTGTGCTGTGTTGTATTTTTGGGCTTGGCCTCTTGTTAGCCACCCCAAGTCCCCATCGGGGAGATGGTGGCCAGGAATAATTAAATATTATTATTATTATTATTATTATTATTATTATTATTATTATTAAAGTGCGCTTCACTGGCACAACGTTGGGTATTGTGGCGAATGAGAGTCCTTTCTGCCCGATCTCCCTGCGCTTACCACAGGCAGTGTGACTCCAGCGCTGACTGTATAGAAAGGGGAGATACATCACCAGAGTCCCTGCATACACCTCAGCCAGGTTGCCTCTCTCACCTGGGCTGTATTGTTAGCAAGGGCACAAACCTTCCTTTAGCAGAAAGAAAGGAGATGTTCGTGATCTCAAGTCCCTTGTAGAACTATGTAAACAAACGCCAGTCCTGCTTCTTCCCCTTTCCCCAACTCTGCTATTTTTGTTCCTCCTCCAGAGAGTGGTACGGCTATCATTTCCCGGAGTTGATCAAGATTGTGAGCGACAACTATACCTACTGCCGTCTTGCCAAACTCATCCGGAACCGGAAGGAGCTGAGCGAGGAGAGCCTGGAGGCGCTGGAGGAGGTGGTGATGGACAGCGCCAAGGCCCAGGCCATCCTGGAGGCCTCCCGCTCCTCCATGGGTCAGTGTCCAGGAATCTGGGGGGATTATCCTCATAAGGGGAAGGACTTCTTCTCTCCTCGAGTCTATGGGCAAGCTTGGGCCCTCCCTCCAGGTGTTTTGGACTTCAACTCCCACAATTCCTAACAGCCTCAGGCCCTTTCCTTTTGCCCCTCAGCCGCTTAAGCCACTTGGAGGGAGGGCCCAAGCTTGCCCACGCCTGATAATAAAGGGATCCAGATTGGGCTTCTGCTGGACAACCAAGGTGTTGTGAACTGCTCTTTTGATTCTGAGGGAAGAGGAGGACAGGTGGAATAAGAAGCAGCACTTGGGGATTTGGGGTTAAGTGGTGAAGAAGAAGAGGTGGCATACCTATCACAAATCCCCACGTTTCAGGAACGATGAAGGGAGAAACTAGGTTAGCAGTAAAAACGCTGAGCAGTCAGACCGCGGCCTAGACACACGTGTGCTAGGAGCTATAAATTAGCAATAAAGTCCGGGGCATAGTGATGACAGCACCTAATCTCCTGTTCTAAACACTGTGTCGCCATTTCAGTGTCAGTCCTTGGCTATTGACATTTCTTTCTGCAACCCGTAAGCTTGTTTATCAAAGACCCTAGTTTCTGTCTGATCTGAGCTTTACACGCAGCAGCCTTCATACCAGAGATTTCTCACACAGAGGTTTATCTCACATGAGGCTTCTCTCACACAGGCTTACGTCACACGAGGCTCCTCTTACATGAAGCTTCTCTCACACAGAGGCTCCTCTTACATGAGGCTTCTCTCACACAGAGGTTTACCTCTCACATAGCTTCTCTCACACAGAGGTTTACCTCTCACAAAGCTTCTCTCACACAGAGGCTTACCTCACACGAGGCTCCTCTTACATGAGGCTTCTCTCACACAGAGGTTTACCTCTCACAAAGCTTCTTTCACACAGAGGTTTATCTCACATGAGGCTTCTCTCACACAGAGGCTTCTCTCACACAAGGCTTCTCTCACATGGAGGTTTACCTCACACGAGGCTTCTCTCACACAGAGGTTTACCTCACACGAGGCTTCTCTCACACAGAGGTTTAACTCCCACGAGGCTTCTCTCACACAGAGGTTTACTTCACACGAGGCTTCTCTCACACAGAGGTTTACCTCACACGAGGCTTCTCTCACACAGGTTTAACTCACACGAGGCTTCTCTCACACAGGTTTACTTCACACGAGGCTTCTCTCACACAGAGGTTTACCTCACACGAGGCTTCTCTCACACAGGTTTACCTCACACGAGGCTTCTCTCACACAGAGGTTTACTTCACACGAGGCTTCTCTCACACACAGGTTTACCTCACACGAGGCTTCTCTCACACAGAGGTTTACTTCACACGAGGCTTCTCTCACACAGAGGTTTAACTCTCACGAGGCTTCTCTCACACAGGTTTACCTCACACGAGGCTTCTCTCACACAGAGGTTACCTCACACTCCTCAGGACGACACTAGCTTTGGCCCACTGACTCTTAACAGGCTTCAGCCTGCTCACTCTTTCCGTGCTTGACTCACACTTTTGTAATCAAAAATACCCAGTTAATTTTTAATATTTCTGACATGTATTTTCGAAGGCTTTCATGGCCGGAATCACTGGGTTGTTGTAGGGTTTTTTCGGGCTATATGGCCATGTTCTAAAGGCATTCTCTCCTGACGTTTCGCCTGCATCTATGGCAAGCATCCTCAGAAGTCGTGAGGTCTGTTGGAACTAGGAAGAAGGGTTTATATATCTGTGGAAGGACCAGGGTGGGACAAAGGGCTCTTGTCTGTTGGAGCTAGGTGTGAATGTTTCAACTGACCACCTTGATTAGTGGGTTGTTGTAGGTTTTTTTGGGCTATATGGCCATGTTCTAGAGGCATTTTTCTCCTGACGTTTCGCCTGCATCTATGCCAAGCATCCTCAGAGGTAGTGAGGTCTGTTGGAACTAGGAAAAAGGGTTTATATATCTGTGGAATAATGACCAGGGTGGGACAAAGGACTCTTGTCTGCTGGAGCTAGTTGTGAATGTTTCAACTGACCACCTTGATTAGCATATAATGGCCTGACAGTGCCTGGAGCAAACTTTTGTTGAGAGGTGATTAGATGTCCTTGTTTGTTTCCTCTCTGTTGTTGTGCTGTTGTAATTTTAGAGTTTTAGAGTTGAACAAAATCTGGCTACCAGTATTAAAAAACTCTAAAATAGCTTGACAGATGCAACTGTCTTTCGGGTTGCAAAGGTTGGCAACAAGCTACACAATTGGTCGGAAGCTCACTCTGACCCGGGCTGGCTTCGAACCTTTGATCAGAAGTGATCTTAATGCAGGTGACACTCAGACAGCTGCGCCTCAGTGTACTATTATTAGTAATATTACATCTATATAAATACAAATGTAATGTTCGTTTGCGATACCATCAGAACTCAAGAACTGGGGGAATTGACACCAAATTTGGACAATAGACACTATCTCAACCAAGCTATGTTCTCCACTCACAAAACCCCCCAAAAAACACGTCTCCCCCCTCCCCCCCCCCAGAAAGACGTCCAACTTAAGCCTCAGGGAGGGAGAGGGGAGAGAACGAGTGCATGTGCATGGCCAGCAGGCTCCCACGGGAGGAGGCTCTCTGTTCAGGAGCTGGAGGAAAAGCCCTCATCCCCGCAGGCCTGCCTTAAAATATCTCTTCAGACCCGACTAATCTACCACTGAGGGGATGGATTCGGGAGAAAGGAAACTCTGCGGAAGCAAAAGCAATCAAGCTCAAAGCAGATCCATTGATAACCCAGGCTCAGAATACAGAACCCCCTATTCATGTCAGACAGGAAGACCCCATTCAAGCCCTCCCAACAGATGGCCATCCAATTCCAAACCCATTCTGCCAGGCAGGAAGACACCATTCATTCTATATATTAAATATATCGAATATTAAATTATATTATTATATTAAATTATATTATTAGCATAGCACAGGAGACAAGGTGGTACTGTCTCCTGCCCCCCCCCCCTCCCCGGTCTGGCCCGGAGCAGCAGTTGGTGGTGGGGTGGGGGTGGGGGGGTTCTATACCTGCTTAACCCCCCAAAGCAGCAAGTGAGGATTCCTACCTCTCTGTATCCCAATTTCCTGCAGGAATGGACATCTCCCCCATCGACCTCATCAACATCGAGAGCTTCTCCAGCCGGGTGATCTCCCTCTCGGAGTACCGCAAAGGCCTGCAAGAGTACCTGCGCTCCAAGATGAGCCAGGTGGCCCCCAGCCTCTCGGCCCTGATTGGAGAAGTGGTAAGTGCGGAAAGGTGGGGAGGTTGAGCCCTGATACCTCCATCACTGGCCACAGAGATGATGTACATTGTGAATCTGTCAATCCACTGAAGCTCGCGCTGTCGACACCCTCTCACTGCTGATCTGTGCCAGAAAGGAAAGGGAGAATACTTCTAGAGCAGGTGCGGGCCAGCTTGGGCCCTCCAGGTGTTTTGGACTTCAACTCCCACAATTCCTAATGGCCGAGTAGGCCGTTAGGAATTGTGGGAGTTGAAGTCCAAAACACCTGGAGGGCCCAAGCTGGCCCGTACCTGCTCTAGATGCTCGTAAGGTGTGTGTTTATACTTGTAACACCTTTCTAATTTGCCACGCAGGTGGGCGCCCGCCTCATCTCCCACGCCGGCAGCCTGACCAACCTGGCCAAGTACCCTGCTTCCACGGTGCAGATTCTGGGCGCGGAGAAGGCCCTCTTCAGGTACAGCGGTGGGGCAGCTGCAGTGATGGCAGGGCTCTGGGGTGCCAGGCAAGAAGCATGGGATCCTTATCTAGGGCCATGTTGGTGATGGGCTTGGCCCCCAGCCTCTGAGCAGCCCCCCCAGGCGTTCCCTTCCCCTTTGATTGGCAGGTTAGCTATTTCTGGTTGGGGTAGGGGAGGAGGGTTGGATGCCGGGCGGATGTGGGGCTGGCAGAGCTGCAACCCTCATACGTCAATGTGTCCAGAGGAGGGCGATTAAAAGGATCAAGGGTCTGGAGAACAACCCCTAAGAGGAGCGGCTTAAAGAGCTGGGCTTGTTTGTGAAGCTGGCAGGGCTGCAACCCTCATAGGAGGGTGACTAAAATGATCAAGGGTCTGGAGAACAACCCCTATGAGGAGCGGCTTAAAGAGCTGGGCTTGTTTGTGAAGCTGGCAGGGCTGCAACCCTCATAGGAGGGTGACTAAAATGATCAAGGGTCTGGAGAACAAGCCCTATGAGGAGCGGTTTAAAGAGCTGGGCATGTTGAACCTGGAGAAGAGAAGGCTGAGAGGAGACATGTTGAGGGCCATGTATAAATATGTGAGGAAGTCATAGGACGAGGGAGAAAGCTTGTTTTCTGCTGACCCAGAGACTAGGATGCATGGGAGCAATGGCTTCAAACTACAATAATAATGTATTGTCGAAGGCTTAAAAAACTCTAAAATTACAACAGCAAAACAGCAGAGAGGAAACAACCAGGCACATCTTAACACCTCTCAACAAAAAGATTTTCCCAGGCTCAGCCAGGCCTTCAAATGCTAATGAAGGTGGTCAGTTGAAAACATTCACACCTAGCTCCAGCAGAGAAGAGCTCTTTGCCCCACCCTGGTCATTCCACAGATATATAAACCCATTTTCCTAATTCCAACAGACCTCACTACCTCTGAGGATGCTTGCCATAGATGCAGGCGAAACGTCAGGAGAAATGCCTCTAGAACATGGCCCTATAGCCCGAAAAAACCCACAAGAACCTACAATAATAATAATAATAACAACAACAACACTTTATTTGTACCCTGCTAACATCTCCCCAAGGGACTCGGTGCGGCTTACATGAGGCCGAGGCCAAATACAACAATACAAGCAAAACAACAACAGTACAAGCAATGAAAATAAAAACATAAACAATAAAATATACATTATCAATAAGACAACACGCAATTAAAAACAGTGGGAAGGCCAAATGTAAAGTTAAAATGGAAATAATGCTGGGACATGGACGAAAGGTGATAGACACAAGAGATTCCATTTGAACCTGAGGAAGAACTTCCTGACTGTGAGAGCTGTTCAGCAGTGGAACTCTCTGACCCGGAGTGTGGTGGAAGCTTTAAAACAGAGGCCATAGATGTGGGTGAAGTGTCAGGAGAGAATGCTTCTGGGACATGGCCAGACAGCCCAGAAAACTCACATCATCAACCCAATCACAACGTTGACTCTCTTCTGCACTCCAGGGCATTGAAGACCCGGGGCAACACTCCCAAGTACGGCCTGATATTTCACTCCACCTTCATTGGCCGGGCGGCGGCCAAGAACAAGGGGCGCATCTCTCGCTACCTGGCCAACAAGTGCACCATCGCCTCCCGCGTCGACTGCTTCTCAGGTGAGGTCAGGGGACCCCCTTCGTTCCTTCCCTGGAGGAGGAGACCACAAGTGGAGAATCGTTTTGGGGGGAGTCGAGCCACTTGGGAGCTTTGCTGTGATGTTTACATTTTTCGTCAACAGTATTTCACCTTAGTGAATGGTGACGCATCAGATCTGAGCAAAGCTTGCTGTATGCAGAAATGGGGGGAGAGGGGGTAGAGGATTGTTTCTGCTCGTTTTCTTTAGGGGGTTCTCCAAAAATAAGACCCAGCTAGAAAATAAGCCCTAGCGTGATGCTTGTAATATAAGCCCTACCCCAAATATAAACCTCACTAGGTGTATCCACAACACGTTGCTGTGGCCAGCCTTCCCTCCCTCTTTCTCTCCTTCCTTTTTCTTCTTTACTTCTCTCCTTCCTTCCTTCCTTCCTTCTCTACCTCTTTCCTTCCTCCCTTTTCCTTTTCCTTCTCTTTATCTCCTTTCTTCCTTCTCTACCTTTTTCCTTCCTTCGCTTTCTCCTTCCCATCCTTCCTTCTGTCTTTCTCTTTTTCCTTTCTTCCCTCTTTCTTTCCTTTCTTCCTTCTCTACCTCTTTCCTTCCTTCGCTTTCTCCTCCCATCCTTCCTTCTGTCTTTCTTTTTTCCTTTCCGCCCTCTTTCTCTCCTTTTTTCCTTTTCTACCTCTTTCCTTCCTTCGCTTTTTGCTCCAATCCTTCCTTCTGTCTTTATCTTTTTCCTTTCTTCCCTCTTTCTCTCCTTTCTTCCTTCTCTACCTCTTTCCTTCCTTTACTTTCTCCTTCCATTCTTCCTTCTGTCTTTCTCTTTTTCCTTTCCTCCCTCTTTCTCTCCTTCCTTTTCTACCTCTTTCCTTCCTTCGCTTTTTGCTTCCATCCTTCCTTTCTTTTTTTCCTTTTCTCCCTCCTTCTCTCCTTTCTTCCTTTTCTACCTTTCCTTCCTTCGCTTTTTGCTTCCATCCTTCCTTCTTTCTTTGCTTCTTTCCTTCCCTCCCACTTCCTCATTCTTCCTTCTCTCTCTTTCCCTTCTTCCTCTGCTCCCTTTTTCCTTCCTTTCCTTATTTCTTTCCTTCTCTCCTTCCTTCTCTACCCCTTTCTTTTCCTCTTTCCTTCCTTCGCTTTTTGCTTCCATGCTTCCTTCTGCCTTTCTTTTTTTCCTTTCCTCCCTCTTTCTCTCCTTTCTTCCTTCTCTACCTCTTTCCTTCCTTTGCTTTTTGCTTCCATCCTTCCTTCTGTCTTTTTTTCCTTTCCTCCCTCTTTCTCATTCTTCCTTCTCTATCTCTATCACTTCTTCTTTCACTCCCTCTTCCCTTTTTTCTTTCCTTCTCTCCTTCCTTCTCTACCCCTTTCTTTCCTCCCCCCATTTCTTTTCCTCTTTCCTTCCTTCCTTTGCTTGTTCCTTTTCCTTCTCTCTTTCCTTCCTTCCCTCCCTCTTAAAAAGACTTAAAAAGCCAAAACAAATTAAAAAATGTTACAAAGCATGCACAAAACCACATGTATACACAAATATGTATAACCACAAAACATATACACAGCCTGGGCCACAGCAACGTGTGGCAGGGGACGGCTAGTGTGAAATAAATGCAATTTTTTTGCAGTTTTGGTGCCTGCAGTTGTAAGCAGAGCTCTGTGGCTGAATGAGAGATTGGGGCAAAAGATTCTACAAATGGAAATTCAGGCTGGAATTTGGTGGGGTGGAGAGTTATGTTCCAAAAGAAGTTGACATGACTACTCGAATATTGCAGGACCCCCTGAAAATAAGCTCTATTGCAGGCCTGGGCCAACTTGGGCCCTCCAGGTGTTTTGGACTGCAACTCCCACAATTCCTAACAGCCGGTAGGCTGTTAGGAATTGTGGGAGTTGCAGTCCAAAACACCTGGAGGGCCCAAGTTGGCCCAGGCCTGCCCTAATAGGTCTTTTGGAGGGAAATATAGCATAAGCCTGCCTTTCCTCCGCAGAGGTTCCAACCAGCGTCTTTGGGGAAAAGCTCCGAGAGCAAGTGGAGGAGCGTCTGGCTTTCTATGAGACGGGGGAAGCCCCGCGCAAGAACCTGGATGTCATGAAGGAAGCCGTAGTGGAGGTAAGGAAGGGGCAAACGGCACCGGTGTGTGTGTGTGTTGGGAGCAGCAATGGCCAGCGTTGGACGTGATGAGGAATTCCAGGCCTGACGCATCTGCGGTGGAGGCAAAAACTGATTTAATGAGCCTGATCCGGCGCTGTCCACTAGTGTCCAAACCACGTGCTCCCCTCTGATTCCTTGGGGCGGATGACGATAAGACTCTGCTGCCCTCTTTGCAGGCGACGGAAGTCGTGGCCGAGATCAAGAGGAAGATGGAGAAGAAAGAGAAGAAGAGGAGGAAACGGGAAAAGAAGCGGCTGGAGGCTTTGGCCGCAGCTGCTGGAGAAGAGACTGAGAACTCGGTGATGGAGGAGACCGCGGAGGTGAGGCAGTTGGGGAATGTTGTGATGGAGGGATTGTTTTTGTTGTATTTGTATGCCATGGAGTGGGACCCAAGGCTGGTCAGCATCATGAGCTGCTCTTGGGTGCCGTCGGGATGGGAATCAGCGCCAAAGCAGATTTTAAAACCTGCTTTGGTGCAGATTTTGGGTCAGTCTGGAAGCGCTCGAGGTCATCACATTACTAAGTCTGATGCTGGAGGCTGCATATCTATATAAATAAAAATGTAATGTTCGTATGTGGGATTAACAGAACTCAAAAACCACTGGACGAATTCACACCAAATTTGGACACAATATACCTAAGAACCCAATGTATGTCCTTCACAAAAAAAAAATTGGTTTTGTCATTTGGGAGTTGTAGTTGCTGGGATTTATAGTTCACCTACAATCAAGGAGCCCCAGCAATGAACCCCAGCAATGATGAAATCGAGCCAAACTTGGCACACAGTTCTCCCATGACCAACAGAAAATACTGGAAGTGTCCTTTGGTTTTGGAGTTGTAGTTCACCTACATCCAGAGATCACTGTGGACTCAAACAATAATGGATCTGGGCCAAACTTGGCACGAATATTCCATATGCCCAAATATGAACACAGATGGAGTAATAATAATAATGAGAGTAAAATAATAAATGTGATAATAATAGAGTAAAATAATGAATGTAGCAATAACAATTATAAAGTTAAAAATGTAATAATAATAGAGTAAAATGATAAATGTAATAATAATAATAATGAGAGTGAAATAATAAATGTGATGATAATAGAGTAAAATAATGGAAATGTAATAAAAAGAGTAAAATAATGAATGTAGCAATAACAATTATAAAGTTAAAAATGTAATAATAATAGAGTAAAATGATAAATGTCATAATAGTAGAGTAAAATAATGGAAATGTAATAATAATAGTAATAAAAAGAGTAAAATAATGAATGTAGCAATAGCAATTATAAAGTAAGAAAAAATAAATCTAATAATAATAGAGTAAAATGATAATTGTAATAATAGTAAAGGTAAAGGTAGTCCCCTGACACTAAGTCCAATCATGTCTGACTGGGGTGTGGTGCTCATCTCCATTTCTAAGCCGAAGAGCCAGCGTTGTCCGTAGACACCTCCAAGGTCATGTGGCCAGCATGACTGCATGGAGCGCCGTTAGTAATAGTAATAATAATGAGAGTAAAATAATAAATGTGATAATAATAGAGTAAAATAATGGACATGTAATAATAATAGTAATATGTTAGCAATAACAATTATAAAGTAAAAAATAAATGTAATAATAATAGAGTAAAATGATAAATGTAATAATAATAAATAGAATAAAATAATAAATGTAATAATAATAATAACCACAGAGTAAAATAATAAATAACCTTGACTTGAGTATAAGCCGAGGGGGGCTTTTTCAGCCTGAAAAAAAGGCTAAAAAACTAAGCTTATACTCGAGTATATACAGTATATCTTTTGGGCAATTACAACTGCAATTCCACTTCAAAGAAACAACCATCCTCTGCTAACGAAATATATATATTTTTGTAACAGCATGTCTTTGTCCTTGGCAGTTTAAAGACATGGTTCGTCAGTCTAACAGCCAAGTTATCTGTGTGCCATTACAAATGAATGCTTATGCATATCACTTGTTCTTAGAGTTGATTTCTAATGAGGTCATGCTTTTCCTGACCGGTGGTTTGTTTCTTTTTAAATAGTATTTATTGTGATTTTCACTATAACAACGAATGAGGGGGAACAATGGGTGTGATAGAAAAGGTTAGAAAATTGACTGGTGGTTTTCAAAAGGTGGTCTTCATGTGTTTAAGGAGATTAACAATTGCCAAATGGATGTGGCATCATTTTTACCTTTCCAGTAAGGTTATGGTGCAGTTATTGCCAATAATTCTGAGTTTCCTTGGCTGCAATCAAGCCATATCAGGCTCCTAATGTGTATATCCACTTTCTCTCTCTCGCATATCAGGAAAACGAGGCTGAGCCCAAAAAGAAGAAAAAGAGGAAGCACCAGGAGATGGAAGACGCAGACTCGGAAGCAGCCGAGAACGGCCTGGAAGACGAAGAGGCCTCCCCCAGGAAAAAGAAAAACAAGAAGAAAGTGGCCGTAACGGAGAGCCCCCCACCCAAGGCGAAAAAGACAAAAAAGAAGAAGGCTAGAGAAGAGGAAGAGGAGGATGACGATGATGATGACTAGCACGCCAGGTTCTAGGAAAGAGTGGGCATCTCTTTCTTAAAACACGACTTTTGGGGACAGGAGAGGGAGCCGTCCTTCTGTCTCTAGGCCGCTGAATGTATCCTGCCAACGCTGGGAAGCAAGTGGACAGATGACCAGCTGGGGAGAGGGGCCTGGGGCAAGCTGGGCAGCCTGGAAGTCCTCTCAAGGAAGGGCTCTGGGCTCCAAGGCACTCCTGCAAGGAACGCTTAGCATTACGAGAGCAGGGCCGCCCCACAAGCGCCTGTGCTGGCTGCGCAACAAGAGCGTCTCACATTTTGCAGAGTTACGATAACAATAAAATGTTTGGGCTTTTTTTTTTTTGCAGCAGTTTTACTCAGTGCTATCCTTGAGGACAAAAGTCAAAAAGCAGTTGGGTTCTTGGCCTTGGAAGTGGGAGGGTGGCTACTGCAGGCTCAAGTGGAAGGAAGTGAGTGTCGGAGGGAGGCAAGAGGAGACGGCCCAGTTGGGTTCTGCTCCCGCTTTGATGTTAATGGGAAGGAGGCAGAGAATCATAAGAGTTGGAAGAGACCTCCTGGGCCATCCAGTCCAACCCCATTCTGCCAAGAA